GGGCAGATAAAGCGAGCGAGTAAGCCCGCCGCAAATCTTGCTTCAAGATAAACCAAGATTTTACACTTGAAAGGTTTGCCTTCGTACGACGCTAGCTCTCGTCGTCGTCGTCGTCACACCCACCACCCCCCGTGGGTCTCTCTCCCGGTCCCGCAGGTTTCTTTCAGCGGGATGATAGCGCCTCTTAGTGCGTACAAGTGAGCATTACGCACAGGAGGGCATTATATAAAAAGCAACTCTCGATCTGCAACATCACACAACCCATCACTACTGCCTTCCCGCGCAATGCAAATGCGTAACAATCCGATCGTCCTACAATCATTGGCAGCTGTATCTTTAGACCGCGCACACGATATAAAACAGTCGTCAGCAGCGGGTTTTTTCCCCTCCCCTTCTTGCTCGATTGTCGTTGAGATAACTGTGCTTCTGGGAGGGCTTATTGCGCAGACTGTGGCGTGTGTGCGCGCGTGTTTATAGATTCCGTGGTGTCAGCGCACGTGGTTTTAGGAGCGCGAACCCCAAACACACAAAAAGCCCTCAATACGTTTATGAATAGCACTGCCCTAAAGAGGGGGAAACGCAATGGCCATTCTTGGTTCGCAGAACCCTCTGAAAAAGGGTCAGTTCCCGTAACGTCGCCTATTATATCGTGTTCTCTTTTTGGGCAGTGTTCTCGACTAATCTGTGTGCGGAGGGTGCGTTCAATGTGCTTTGTGCGCCACCAAACAATGCAGCAGCAGCAGCATCGCAGTCTTCTCTTGTTCAACCGAAGCCGCGCAACATATAACATCGGTGTCGTTCACCGAAATGTAAACATCATCTCGCAATGAACTTGCAATTTCCACAATAACAATTATTAACTCACTTATCTTGCGATAGCTTATTATGAGAGTAATATTGGCGTATAATCTCATATATCCGTGTGTATATATAGAGACCCACACGCAATGTTTCTAGTTCATTTGCCACGTGGCTTTGCAGAACAAGCTTATCCACGCAATTACTTTGCAGTGTTATTTTCCCGTCGTTTGAATAGTCTCTTTAGCCGGAGTGCTCACATTTCTTTTAACGTTTTTAATCGTGCTCGCTGCTTTGCCTAGTTAGGGTCACTGATTCAGTATCACGATTTAGTAATGCTCCTTATAATTGCTCCGTTCAGCAATCGCCACATTCCCGTGGACAATTGCGAGTGAGGTTGAAAACATTCAAATTGCTGTTCGGTCAATTAGCGAGCTCACGTGGTATGATGAATGAAATACAAATTGGATGTGGTATCATCATCAGCAGAAGCAGCCGTGGCCCATCCACTGCTGGATGAAGGCATTCCCAAGTCGTAGACATGCATACAAAAGCAAGACGCTGTATAAAACGGTGGCAAATAGACATGCAGAAGAGGAGAAAGCGCACTTGTTTATTGAATTAGAGAGCGAAAATGGGGAGGGGGGGGAGAAAATTAGGGTCTCGAGCCTGGAACTGACCAGGGGAAGGGAGTCTGCAGTACGTATGGCAGGCGGGAGTGAGTGAATTCCACGCAACCCAAACCATCCCCCCTCCATTATCTCTCCCGATATCCCCGTTCGTCGCCATGGCCTCCGCCACGCATAAATGAACGCTCACCCAGCGAAGTGCGCGCCCAACGCAACCAACGTCAGTGCCAACTAAGTTCAAGGCACCCAAATTGAACAACTGGCTCGACGAATTCCCCAGCGCCTTCGCCAAAATTGCATAGCCGCTGCTTCGCGTGCGTCTATGCAGCATTTGTTCATTCATAGCGGGCGCACGTGTGCACGCACGCACGTGTTTCAGTGTGTGTGTGTGCGCAAGTGTGTGTGTGTGCGGTAGTGTAGTGGGTAGCGCGCTGCGCTACGAACCCGGCGACCCGGATTCGATTGCCGCTCTCGGCCAACACCGGCGACGATTATTTAAACCGGTCCGTCCCCTAGGTCGACTCGGCATCAAATGAGTGAGTAGTTGGTGCGGTGTGTAAACATCGCCACTAGGGAGACGAAGGCGGCCGGGCGCGGTGTTGGCCACCCACCCCTCTCGTTCCGGCCTTCATGGGTGCTCGCTAACAGCACTTGCCCCAACAGTATGTTAAGGCTACACGAGGTAGGGGGGGGGGGATCTTTGTCTTTGTGTGCCGAGTGGTGAGCGCCCGGCGTGACGACGCCAGCACACCCGAGTTGGATTTCTCGGCCACGGTTAAAATTAGTGGCGAATATACGAAGCTGAGCTTCCTCTCGACTCAGCGCCCCCCCCCCTCCTCCACACACACACTCGTGCATCACGCTGACCTTCGTAAGCGTTCAATAGCGGCACTTGTTACAAGCAGTGTGTTAATAAAGACTATGCGGTGGTGGGGGGGGGGGGGCTTGAAGGAACCTTTGTATTTTGCTCGTGTGAAATAATGCATGTTAAATAATCGAGTGTATCGTCCACTCAAGGGGGTCCCCCCCTCCCATCTGCCACATGGCGCGCGCATGCAAATTCCAAAAACGGCACTCGAGAACGGCCTCGCCTCTACAATTCTGCCAAATAGCGTGAGTCAACGTGGAACCATGCAGTCGAGAGAGAGAGTGTGTGTGTGTGTTTTTGTCACGTTCCCCCTTCTCTTGCTGGGCTGGCTACAGCTCTGAATTGGCATCGGTCTGTGTGTGTTGTGCGTGGAGGGGGGGGGTAGCGTTGCGTTTAGCGCGCTGCGGGATTATCAGAATCCTGAGCCTTCCCTAGGTCGACTCAGCCTCAAACGAGTAAACATCGCAACTAGGGAGACAAAGGCGGCCGGGCGTCGTTGTGCCCTGCCTACCTTAGTAGGTGCTCGCGTACACCACTTTCCCCAACAGTCTGTTAAGGCTATACGGCAGGATCGTTGTGTGCACGCGTGCCCGTTGTTGTAACGCATTATGACACTTGCATGCATGCAATGCATGTGTATGCATTGCATGCAAAAAGAGTGGGCCCCCGCTTTGCAAAATTGGATTAACAGCGCTCCCCGCGTGTTAGCCGTACACGCAAATGATCAATACGGAAGGCGACTGCTGCTGCTGCTGTTGTCTGCCTGTCACTAGCCCCAACAATGCCCTCTCACGTGGCATCCTTTCTTGTCAGCAGTCTCGTCACCTGTCAATCAGGCAGCCAGCATCTACAACCGATCTCTCGCCGCGGATGCACGCGGGCGCTCTTCCACGTTGACGTTATTCCACGTTGAGCGTTTGGCAATGTTCCTTGCTTCTTACCCTATTGCTCTTGCCGCAGGCGGAGTGAGGCGAGAGAGAAAAGGGAACGCCTGCAGCGTACAAACCACCCCCCCCCCCCCAAAGAAAAAAAAGATGCGACTTTTGTATATTTTGCAAGGTCCAACAGTAATGCGTAGGGTACTGCTCTGAGGTCGCCTTGTCAATCCAATGCTGGATGAAGAGCTCAAGATAATAAGAGGTTGCGTTTCACCGCTGGGCAATGCGGGGGATGGCGAGGATAGGCGAGGAGCAAACATTTTTTGTTCAAGATATCACTCGCCACTGATGTTAGCCGTGGATGGGAATCGAACTCAGCTGGGTCCGGATTCATAGGGCAGTCGGTGCGCTAACCACTGCACCACCGCTCTAAGTATGCGGTGTTTATCACGAGGGAACTATCACGTTCAAGATTCCCATGTGAAAGCAGCTTGTGTGACTGCGTGTTGGCCAAAACTCACTCATGTCGCTTACGAGGGGGGGGGGGGGGGATGAGTGGAATTGTCTCGAAGATAACCCTCCTCCACCCAAAAAAAAAATCAACGCAATCGTAAATAACACCGCCATGAAAGGACACACAAATGTATACACAATCGGTGACGTTACTACCGATGTACCTTCAAAACCCAGGACAATCTTATTTTAGGGTAACGCACGACAAAATGCCACGATCCATGTGGCCTCCTTCCCTGTGGTACTGTAACAATGCGAGACTGCATTTCTCAACAAGACATGCGGGTGAAGCCGACACACAAGTGGCTGTGTGGGGTGTGATGTGTAATGTAATGTGTGATGCGTGCGAGATGTTGGACGGGGCGAGCTTATTCGAGCAGAATTCGCCTTCCAAACACAATTTGCTGCCTCCGCTACAGCGCAGAATGTCTCTCTCGCTGTTGCGTGGCTGCTTAGAGAGGCCGTTAACCATCCCCGAAGATCCATCCGTAAACATCCTCCTCCTCCCTCTCTCGTTCCCCACAAGCCGCTCCATTGCCACGGATAATTAGCCCGGACGTCACATTTAAGTCGTAAGGGCGGCGAGTGGTGAACAGTTTGTTTGTCTGTGACCGTGCAAAATATACAAGAACGTTTAAATTTCGATTGCTTCACCTGAGGACGGCTGCTTGCGTTGTGGCCGAAACGTCGTGAGAATTGCATTTTATTATGTTTTATTTTTTATTATTTTATTATTTCCCTTCTACGTGACTTTACCGAAAGAACCAAGAAGAAGAACGTTTAACATAACGCAAATCGGAATACATTTAACCGCCGCCGTCCCTCCCATAATATAATTACCGAAACGCACAAGAGCAAAGTCAAGTCTTATTTGCAAGCTCAACACTCTCAATGTACCCCACAAGGCTGTTGCGGTGAAGCCGATGCGAGCTCAAGGCAACGTTCACACCGTTCAAAAATATACATTGTTACTCTTAGTAATCACATCGAACCCAAACTCCCAATTAGGCCAATTGTGCGCGCACGCGCGCGCACGAAAAATGAAATTCTGCACTCAACCCGCAACTTATATTTGGGTCCCGTCCCCACTATAGTCTTAAAATTTCGCTTTAACATCATCAGGGGCGGGAAGCAACAACAACAGCAGCAGCAACAGCAACATCTCACAATTTCACTCGCGCAAAACACACGCACAACACGCGATAAATACAACCCGCGTTGCAAATCCCGTGCGCGCCACACACAACACACACGGCAAGTGCGTCATCGCGTTTTGGCCGGGGCTTTAAAAGCCTCCTCTCATCCTCCACTCACCTCGCGGCGTTCTTCGCCTCCCCGTCTCCTTCGTGTGCTCTCCCACGGCCGCCGCCGCCACCACCGCCGACAACGCGTGGAAGGGAAGCGCCTCCCTCCCCGAGGCGCAGAGCGCTTATCCGCACACTACTTTCACAACGACGTGTTGTCCACAGCTCCCCAAGTCTCATTCCAATATGGCATCTGGCAAGGACGCATGCGCATGCTATGGGGGTGGGAGGGTGGTTGGTTGGTTGTGGGTTTTTCTCGCTCTCTCTCGCTCTCTACACTCGTACGTCTCCTACGCCTCCCATATATACACCCTGGCGATCGCTCGCTCGCTTCGCCGTGGTTTCCCTGCCTCGCTACAGCCCCGCCGCTGCTGACTCTCTCTCTGCGTCAGCGGCGTTGTTGTTAAGTCACGCCCGCTACTCCGCGTGTCCGTGCGCTCGTTCCCTCCCTCCCTCACTCGTCCGTGTGTGATGGGAGGTTTGCGCTGTTCTCATCCAAAAAAAAGCCGGGGGGGGGGCTATCTCTTTCTTGCTTGCTCGCCCGTCCGCCCGCGTCCCTCTCTCTCTCTCGATGTGAGAGATTCATCCAATGGTTGTGACCTAAAGCGCAATCCAGCACCCAAACCCCCCTCCTCCTCCTCCACCCACCGCGCTCTCTATTCCGCCCAATTATGAGCAGGGCTCTGTCGCGTTCGCTGTGTGTACACGCCCATCTCGGCCGTCACTGCAACAACCAACGAGAGAGACCTTCTTACTACGACGACTACGACGACTACTCTATGTGGCAAGCCAGAGAGGGATGGTGGTGGTGGGGGGGATGAACGTACATCATTCATCCCCCCACCGAATGGGGGTTGGGGACGCGGTGCTATTGTAATGAGTTTTCGTGCAGGTGCCAGCTAGCTTCGTGGTGTGTGTGTGTGTGCTGTGGTGTGGATTGTGAGAAGGTTGCTGCTGCTGCTGCTGCGGCGGCTTGGATGAAGGGGAGGGCTTTTGATCCAGCAGTAGATCGATCATGACTGATGATGAAGCCCGTTTTTGTGTGTGTGTGTTAGTCTTGGCAACTTTGTTAACAACGCCAATATTTTTTCGTGAAACGTCGACGGCGGTGTGCGATGAACGGTGGACTATCCAAAAAAAAAATCAAACTATTATTTCTCAAAGAGGCTTTTTTGTTTGTTTGTTTCTTAAATAACAAAATAACAAATGCCAGCGCGTGTTAGCCCCGGAGATTCATCAACAACTCAGCCCACTGATGCGCACGCAAATCCGTTCGCGCAGCTGTTAGTCGCCGGGAGCTGTCGCGCCACTGTAGATGTAACATGAAATGATAACACGTTCCCTAGAAAGGTTAATGAAGGCACGGGTAATTAACAATATACGGGGGGCCTCTTTTGACAATCGATTGCACGGCGAATGCGTCCTCCCTGCAAACCGTCCCCTGGTGGTGCATTGCTGTTTGACCATACTTCAACCGAGCTGGTCAATTCGGATTCGTGGTGTGGTGGAGAGTGGGGGGGGAGGTCAGGAATGATACTCGTTGTTTTTGCCGGTTCACCGCTCCCAGTAATATAAACACGACGTGATTATTTATATAACCCATAGTATGTACTGTATACATATAGTTGTTCTATTGACGGCTGTTTTGGTTTCTTGGAACCGGCCGCGTTGTGAAGCAAGTGCGCTTTGTGCCACGCGGGCTGTTGAAAATGTCGGCCCCATGCATAATGCAGACATCGCATGGCGAGTCACAACAACAACAACAACAATAAAAACCCAACACAAATCGCCAGTTGAGATGGTTCTGGCACCTGGTAAGACTCCCTCTGGAACTCTACGACCGAACAGCATCAGCAGCAACGTCCAGGACACAAGCTGCTGCTGGTGGCGGTGGGACGATGTCGCTCGGCTGGCCTGGGAACGCCTGGGAATTGTCACAGGAAGAGCTAGAGTCTGTGTATAGTAGTGTATAGTGTAGTGTATAGTGTAGTGTAAGGTATAGTGTAGTGTATGGTGTAGTAGTGTATAGTGTAGTGTATGGTGTAGTAGTGTATAGTGTAGTGTACAGTGTAGTAGTGTGTGGTGTAGTATATGGTGTAGTGTATAGTGTAGTAGTGTATAGTGTAGTGTATGGTGTAGTGTTTAGTGTAGTAGTGTATAGGGTAGTAGTGTATAGTGTAGTATATGGTGTAGTGTATAGTGTAGTAGTGTATAGGGTAGTAGTGTATAGTGTAGTGGTGGGACGATGTCGCTCGGCTGGCCTGGGAACGCCTGGGAATTACCACAGGAAGAGCTAGAGTCTGTGTATAGTAGTGTATAGTGTAGTGTATGGTGTATAGTGTAGTGGTGTATAGTAGTGTATAGTGTAGTAGTGTATAGTGTAGTATATGGTGTATAGTGTAGTGGTGTATAGTAGTGTATAGTGTAGTAGTGTATAGTATAGTTGTGTATATTAGTGTAGTTGTGTTTAGTAGTGTAGTGTATAGTGTAGTGTGATTGTGTATATTAGTGCAGTTGTGTTTAGTAGTGTATAGTGTAGTGTGATTATGTATATTAGTATAGTGTAACTGTATAGTAGTGTAGTTGTGTATAGTAGTGTATAGTGTAGTGTGATTGTGTATATTAGTGTAGTGTAACTGTGTATAGAAGTGTAGTTGTGTTTAGTAGTGTATAGTGTAGTGTAACTGTATAGTAGTGTAGTTGTGTATAGTAGTGTAGTGTATAGTGTAGTGAGATTGTGTATATTAGTGTAGTTGTGTTTAGTAGTGTAGTTTGATTGTGTATATTAGTGTAGTTGTGTTTAGTAGTGTAGTGTATAGTGTAGTGTGATAGTGTATATTGGTGTAGTGTAACTGTGTATAGAAGTGTAGTGTTTAGTAGTGTATAGTGTAGTGTAACTGTATAGTAGTGTAGTTGTGTATAGTAGTGTATAGTGTAGTGTGATTGTGTATATTAGTGTAGTGCAACTGTATAGTAGTGTAGTTATGTATAGTAGTATAGTGGAGTAGTGCATAGTGTAGTACTGCATAGTAGTGTAGTAGTGCATAGTGTAATTCTGTATAGTATTGTAGTAGTGTAGAGTAGTGTAGTAGTGTATAGTGTAGTGTAGTAGTGTATAGTGTAGTAGTGCTGGAGCCTGTGGCCAGGGAAGGGGAGGTGTGTAGCCCCACTACTCAACATGCTGCTGTAGTGTCTTGTGTAGTGTATAGTGTAGTAGTGTATAGTGTATAGTTTAGTGTAGTAGTGTATAGTGTAGTAGTGTATAGTGTAGTGATGTATAGTAATGTAGTGTATTAGTGTATTGTGTAGTAGTGTATAGTGTAGTGTAGTAGTGTATAGTGTAGTGTAGTAGTGTACAGTGTAGTGTAGTAGTGTATAGTATAGTGTAGTGATGTATAGTAATGTAGTGTATTAGTGTAGTAGTGTATAGTGTAGTAGTGTATAGTGTAGTAGTGTATAGTGTAGTAGTGTATAGTGTAGTAGTGTATAGTGTAGTAGTGCTGGAGTGTGGCCAGGAAGATGGAGGTGTGGACCGCCACTACTCAACACGCTGCCGCCGTGACCCTCACCAGGACCAGCGGATTGAGAAACTAACGAACAATCGCTAGGATTTCTCCTCGTCATCATCCTCATCATCATCGTCATCATCATCGTCGTCTACCTCGTTTCTCTCCACTCCGTTTGAAGACAGACACCGGAGCGCGGACGCTGGCTATGCAGTGTGAATGGTTGTCGGAAACACAATATGTCGGGTTGTTTTCTATTTTAAAAATAAAACCGCGACGATGCCACGGAACCTGCGGCACTTGCAACCACAAAGTAACACCAAAAAAAAAACCTGGCGGAACACGATAAGCGAAAAATGTTTCAAACGCTGCTGTTGGATTTTCTTTGGCGCTTATCCGCTACTATGTTCCTAAAATGTCAAGGGTTCAGTGAAACTGGCGAAAAGTACGGTGATTTGATTGTGGGAGGTGGAGGAATTACATCTACATACGTGTTGGGAAATCTCCACTGTTCAGTCATCATCGTGATGATGATCATCATTTCCTGCCAGTTCTGCAGGGAGAGATTTCTTGACAATTTCAGTTCTAAAACAACTGCGTTCACATCAATATGCAGCGATCGAGTATAAATAAGACGGCGCTCTTCCATTACGCTTCATGTTGGCTGTGTGTTCTTCACACCGTGCAGAGCTCGTGTGCGTTACGCGATGACACCTGGGGTCTCAAATGCTGGGCTGCGTGTGCTAGCAAACCTGAGTTTAATTCACGGCCACGGATAACAATCAATTATCAGCATCACCAAGTGCCGTGATCAATCCACTGCCGGGTGAAAAACTTCCCCCCACACCGTCACCATCCATCGCGACCCTGCGATGTATCCACCTGAGCAACTGCACACGAGCTGAATTAATCGCTCCATCTCTCCCTGTCAGACGGGCTCTCGGACGCGTTCCATTCATAGGCTGCCGCTCCTCTGGCCTTCCCCTAGATCGACTCAACCTAAGCAAATAATTTGGGCCTGCCTCTTGCAAAGTACACACATCGACACTTGGAAGACAAAGGCGGCCGGGCGTCGTCCTTATCCACGCAACTCCCCCTCGTGCGCCATGCCGACCTTAATAGGTGCTCGCAAACGGTGCTTGTATTGCTCCAGCAACCAAGAAATACTATACGTGCCATCTTTGACCAATTTTTTTTGCGTATGCATTTATTCTTAACTGCATCCCTCATCAGTCATACACGGCTCACATGTTGTGACAACACGTGGTCACGTGTGAGTGTGTATGTGGTGTGTGTGGCGTTGCCAGTTTTCTAAGTCACTTAACCCATTGCATCTGGGTCTGTCCGGTGACCTCCTGCCAACGAGCCTTTGACACTTCGCGTGACCTCAATGTGCACCTAGCCTGGCACAAACGCTGTGTGGTGACGTCACCGTAATTTAGCGAGTGTCCGCTGTTGTTGCTGCGTCTATGACGTGTGTGAGTGTGTGGTTGTGTGTGTACGGATTGTCTGAGTGCATCGCCTTTCTTCTACATGTGACTTATCCGAACCGGTCCTGGGCCTCCCCTAGGTCGACTCAGTTTCCATTTAGTACTTGATGCGGGGTCTAAACATCACCACCAGGGAGACAAAGGCGGCCGGGCGTAGTGCTAGCCACCCCACCCCTTCGTGTGCCGTGCTGTCTTTCAAAGGTTATCGTGAAAAGCACTTGCCCCAAACCCCTGTTAATACCGTACGGGGTTCTTTGTCTTTATCTTGTATGGTGTGCGTGTGTTGTGAATTAATATTTGGTTACGTAATACGTGATTGGGTTGGCATGAAACACACACACACACGGCCGACACGTGATCATAGTTTATGTATGACTAATGTTCTGATATGCTTACAAATTACGATGCGTAAAAACATCCTTTACGAGATTGCCCCGTGCATTGGCTGCCAGCGGGGAGCGTTAAGCGCAGGGTTTAACGCCTTCACGCAATGAACCCGGTTCACTTAAGTTCGACTCCTGCGCACGGCTCCCCTGCTTTCTCGCCCCTCATCCAGCA